ATACTAGACATATGTGAAATGTGCACGTTTGACTTTTGGATGCAAAAGCAAATAACATGTCCTGAATCTTTACCTGATGATGCTGACAGTTAGCAGTGCACCAGCAACGGGTCCAACCCAGAAGACCCAGTGATTGTCCCAGTGGTTGGCAGCCATGGCAGGACCAAAGGCACGGGCAGGGTTCATGCAAGCTCCAGACAAAGTCCCTCTGAAATAACAGTCATGACAAACCAACACGTTAATACAGCTGGAAATCAGTGATGCAGATCAGCAACACACTTCTCATGCAAGAAAAACAGGATATACAAGCAATGGGATTATGGTCCACATGCTTGTGCATGACATAAAGACTCATTTAAAAGGGAAACTTGACAAAGTTAATAAACTCATGAGGATATATTAGAGGAACAGAGATTAACCTGTTCCAGTGGTTCTCAGACCTTTGCTGTCATGCCTTGCTTTATGAGCTGAAAGAAGTTCACACCCTACATCTTTTAATTTGTATCAGTGATTTAAGTCAAAAAAAAAAAAGTTTAATTTTAGTAAAGTAAAAAGATGATGTAGTAGCAGTAGCACGCTCTTGTTTATTTTCCCTAAAAAAAAAAATCATATTATCATATCATACTAGTTTCACTTTAATTTCCCCCCATTAGCAACACCCCCCAAGGTGGCACTGCCCCACAGTGTGAGACCCCCATGGGCTATAATAAGACCCAGTATCTTTAGGTTCTGCCATTTTGACTTTTACTTTTTCTCCTTTTCAGTACTTATTACAAAAGTCAACCAAAAGCAGGACAAAATAAACAAGTAGACCTTTTTTTATTATTATTATTATTTTAAATCTGAAACCACGGCTCCTATCGTGGCCCTAATAGTGATTAGAGTCTAGCTCCCAGTGATTCCTCCTGAGATTCTTACCCAGCAAGTATGTTGGCAGCCACAGTGAGGCCAATGCAAAAAGGAACCGAGTCCGTTTGGGTTTTCCTGTTGACGGCCCCCAGGCACACCACCATGGTGAGGATCAGGGTCAACAACATTTCTACCAGGGTGGCTCTACCAGCGTCAGCAGAGACCGCTTTAAAGGCTCCTCCGAGGGAAGCGGTATAGTTATTAGAGGGATACACTGCCTAAAAGCAGAACAAGTAGAACACATAGGATATAACATGACTGGAACCTTAACTTTTTTTCAGTAAATCAAAATATCATTTAATGATCTTAAATTACAATCTTGTATGGTAAATGTTTTTGGCTCAGTCTTGATAAGGTCAAGTCAATGATGTTATCAATCTTGAAGTCAAAGTGCTGCTTGGTAAGTAATCAAAAATCACAATTCTGAACTGTCATAGTGTGTCATCCATATTTATACACAGTAAGTCAAAAATATTGGGTTCAATGATGCAAAATGATGACATAACCTTGTAAATTCACATTTTACATGACAAAACATTAGAGTCATGCCAGAATAAACAAACGCTGACTTACTCAAAACTAAGATCAAAGTAAAAATAATGAAATAATGAAAATTCAAGTCTTGAGAGCCCAGTTTTACAGATTTTTACAGATTTTAAAACATATCACTCCATCGGTTAATTAGTTAATTCATTAATTAATTATTATTATTTCTGCATTGCAAGTTTTTTTTTACTTTTACATTGAAATATAGAAATAAAATAATTAAATGAAATATATACTGATTTGCACAACTTACAGAATACTATTTGTAAAAAAATAAAACCCTAAACATAAATTGTTGACATCTTCTTACCACTGTCTAAAGGCCAATGATTACAAAGAAAAACAAATTTTCCACATTGGTAGTGCATGAAATAACATTTTTTTGCATTTTAGCATTTAGTTAAAAAAAATCAGCAATTAGACTGACGACAAAATTTAACATCTTGACTTATAATGAATTTGCGTATCTTTAGTATTTCGTCTTTTATTTAGACTATATCTTACCTTTGACAAAAAAGCACCAACCACTCCTCCGGCCATCTGAGCTACGATGTAAGGTACGAGCAAAACCAGCTTCATCCCCCCGCACAGGTAGACGCTCAGCGACACTGCAGGATTAAAGTGTCCCCCGCTGCAAGAATTGGAATTCATTTTAGTCTATAAAGTGATCAAGCAGTCACAACTGTCCGTCAAAAATGGATGAATAGATGAAAAAGGATCAAAGAATAGAATGGGATGAATAGAGCGTTTGAATAATGTGTTTACGTGTGTGCTACCTTTGTTGTATCAAACTGAGGCAATACAAAGTGTGACAAAAAATGCATCAGAATATTTTTAAAAGGGTTTTTTTTTTTTTGCTGTGGTTTCCAACACCTAGATGCTCTTTAAATTAAAGCAACTTCTACAAGTTAGGGCTTTTTACTCTAAGCACTAAATCCTAAAAATATCCATAAATTTGTTTTTTTCTTTGCTTTTACACTAACCAAAATCCCAAAAATTCTATTTTAATACTGTAAATACAAGAAGAAAAAACAGTATATAATAAATCTGTACCTGATTTGCCCAAACACTGTGATCAGCACTCCCAGGGCCAGTCCATGTGCCAGGGCAGGCTGGATGACACCCCCCGTTTCCACGTTCCCGATAACAGAGGCACACCCCACAAATACAAACAAGCAGGTTCCCAACAACTCAGCCAGACAGGGCTGCATGTACAGCTCATATTTGCATCGTATCTTACTTCTGTTGCTAATGTCTTTCTCCACCTTCGGCTCCCCCATTTCGGTTACTGTGAAGACCTCTGTCTTACTTTCTAGCCCTGACATGCTGTATTTGAAACCTTCTGCCCTGTGCTTGACTCCCTCCACTTCCACTGGTGGACTACAGTACGATCAGCATATAGTTCTGTATATAAGCCACACATATGATGATGCAACAGGGAAATGCGTACGTCCATGCGTTTTCGCTGTGATGCCCCTCCTTCCTTCAATTTTTTATACTGCCAAAATATTTAAGATGAGCTTGTTAAATGATTAGTCTTGTCGTGGAACATCAAAGTAGTCAGGGTGAAGGTCCTGTTACACAATCACAATGTTTAGTTGTGTTTTTTTTTTATTGCTGAACCTAAGCTCATCAATAAGCCTACAGATACCAATACAAATAAATAAGTAACTTTTATGATCTATAAGGTCCCCTAAATAAAGTCATCAGTCAATGATACAACCCAACCCAAAGTCTACCTGCGCAATTAATGCGATCAAGAATTCTCAGAACTTATCGTGGTGTTCACTCCCAAGAATATCGCACGCACTCTGGATAAGCCAAGGCTTTAAACATAATCGTTCAGATATGACGTCCATAACAAAGTAGATAACTGACAGTTCAACGACATCTTACACAAAAGATTTTCTTTAATTATCTGCACTTGATTGATCATCAAATATAATCAATAACAAACTAATCTGTCACTTTCTCTCAGCTAGGGACAACATTTTGCAGGTAAATGTAAAATTAACGAGCATTTGTATGCATTTCACTATTTATGGCATGCAAGGAATAATCTGATCAATAAATTAAATTAAAATGGCACATGAAAATCAGGAAAGCACAAATATGTAACATCTGGGATTCTTAATACATTCTTTCATCTCCATCACACAAGAGCAGATTTTGTTGATTTTTTGGACATGTTCACAATTCTCATCATGTCTTCGACACATACAGGGATATCAAGGATGCTTGTGAAACTGCATTTTGCTGATGCCGGGACTTTTCACACCGGAACGAATCCCAGATGAGGGGCTCGACAGAGAATTAATGACTTCCTCTTTCCTTAGGCCTCCTTTGACACGTCTTCTCCCGCTGTTGGTTTTGGCGGACACACACAAAAAGTGGCGCAATTTAATGCTCAAAACGCCAACTGAGAGAGACCTGCGGAAAGAGAACATGACCTGTTCTTGTTAATGGCCACAGCAGACATTCAAACTGATGAGCGGGGGATCTGAAAAACACGCACGAGTACGACAAAGTAAATACGCTGACAGTCAGTTTGTCACCATTGTAGTCAGAGAACATCCTGAAACATAGCGTCTGTCACTTTGATGTCCTCTCACAGCTTACGTATCCATTCATAAGGCTAACATTAAAGTGTGCATTACCCAGATTAAGCTTATCCTTGGTGGCCCAGCAGATATTGTAGTGCTGAAGAAGTTGTTGCAACAGTTCCTTCTCATCCAAGAACTCCAGACGCTCAATTCTGAAAGAAATGAAAATCTACTCAAGACTTTGTCTTAAAATGTGACTTCTCATTTCAGGAAGCCACAGTCATGTAGACTGGGTTGTAAAATTCAGGTGTGTGTTAACACAATGCCACATTCTTCCCATGGTGAACTCACCACAGCGACAGATCGTGCAACGCTCAAAAGAGAGACAAATCAAGGTGTTGCAATGGCCCAATCAAAACTGACTCCTCAACTCTGAAATCCTGTGGCAGGACCTTAAAAAA